TGATTGGAATACCTAAAAGGGGTTCTACAACTTGCCCAGTGAAATAGGCCTCGTGCAAAGCCTTTACATAATATAGGACCTTAGGTGGACTCCTGAGTCCCATCCAGAACCTTATGAGGTGGGACATTCCCACTAGAAAGGACAAGCAGACTGGAACAGCTACAGTGACAGAAGATACATTTTCAAAGAAAGATCATCAGGGAAAAACCCAAAATAAAAATGTCAGCATGACTGACTACTACAAGAATAAGCACGTTGTTCGCCAAGAAGATGTCAAGGCTACCAATCAAGTGCTTTCAGAACAAACTCCCCTCTAAGACTGAAACTCAAAGGGAATACACAAACAAGCATGTAAGCTTGCTTGCCGACCACATTGGTCTACTGGTGAGTGGAAGAGGCAGAGAGGCATCAATGAAGAAATGGGCTGAATTCAACCCCAGTCTATTGAATCCCGTTGAGCTGAAGATGCGAGAGAGGAAAAGAAGGGCTGGTTGGTCTAAAGTGTGGTGAGACCTGAGGACACTTGAGCCCATGGACAAGGACTTAGCAACAGAGGGCTAGAGCTGAGAGTGAAGCTTCCAGCTGATATGAAGTGAAGGGAGATGCAAAAGAACACCCAAACTTGCATACAGTACCCTTTTGACCTAACTTTGATTGTTCAATAATCAGAACTCGACTAGAGGAAGATTGGGGGGAGGGAACTTTTTGTATTTTATTTATTTATTTATTTATTTTTGGATAAAGGAAACAAGGGTAAATTGCTTCAATTGGATGAACCTGACCTATACTCAGAGTGGTGGTTACTCTAAATACCAACAGAGAGGGAAAGAGTCTTTACATCATGTATCAATGCTATATCCTCTGTACACAGGGTAGATAGGGACAGGCAACTTATTGGCTATCTAAAATAAGGGGGCAATAAAGACACGAAGTGACTGGCTTACAAGGTTTCAAGAGGGAGTTTAGTTTAAGAGTATGGGGGGAAAGAAAGAGTCCTCACTGAATAGCTGTCATCTTGTCTAGATGGGTCTGGTGAAAAGAGATGGGGATAAGATTTGTAAGGTTCAATAGTGAATAATTGTTATCCAGACTAATTGCGACTGTCACAATTGTAAAGGTAGAAGTTTTGTAACAAAAACAGGGGAGCGGTCCAGAAACAGAGGACCCTAGGACCATCAAGAGAGATGCACACAAGCAGTATATGGGACCTTATCCAGAGAAGCAGCGATGCCAGAGATGGAGGCAGAGATGGGGGCATGGAGAGGCAGAGTGACTGAGGACTCTAGATTCATGGGCTAAGAAGACAGGGACTAAGAGCTGGTGGCCAGGAGGCAGACTTGCAGAATGTGTCCTTTGGAGATGTAAATTATTATATATGCCTGAGTGGTTTTGTTTGTTTGTTTTTAAAAAGCTAAAATGGATAGAAATACTGTGAACTGATGGTACATGGAGGGGATTATAATCATTGTAATGTAACAAGGTGTATGATTTGTTGAATGTGAAACTGATGATACGCCCTGTAAAATTTCACTGAATCCACAATAAAAACCTTAAATTAAAAAAAAAAAAGATAGAAGGGAATGTTTTGTGTCATACATGTGTTTAAAAAATTATAGAATTGTACATGTAAATGGTCAATTTTTACTATATGTTCATTTTTTTTAAGAAAAACGATAGAAAAGTATGTGCTGGATTGTTTCATCCTTCTTTTCATTTTTTCTCCATTCATTTGTGTATTGAGCACCTACTGTGTGTGAAGCACTGTGCTATACTTTGGGGATCAGTTTATAGACAGATAGTCCCTGCCCTCATGGAGCATTCTTTTTGCTTTAGAGAAGAAGTGGTCAGTATGTTTTGGAGCCCAGTGTTTCTACTTGGGGAAGTGACACCAAGTGAGTTCACTTTTCATAGTTAATTAGAGCCAGCCCTATGGGATTTCAAGTGATCACTTTTCCTTCAAAGCCTAAGGGACTAAGAAAATCTCCAATTCACACTTCCTAGGTACTCATAAGCGAAAACACTAATAGGATTGTGTCCTGCTAAAGGAGAGAAGAGAGGAGTGGGGATTGGACATTTGATGCAGTTGTTGATATGCAGACTCTGAAAAGTATTGCCTTAATATTTTGTGTTGTTGTGACTTAAAACAATCATCTATTTAGTTCATGATCCTGTGGAGGGCAGTTAGGCTGGGTTCAGCTGGGCAGTTCTTCTGCTAGTTTTCACTGGATTCCTACAGCATCTACAGTCAGCTGGTAGTCAGTGGCCACACTCAAATGTCTGGTGGTTGGCTGGTAATTGCTGAGATGACAAGAGTAACTGAATCATATGTTTCTCATCATCCAACAAGTTAGCCTGGACTTATTCATATAGTGGAATCACAGGGTCCCCAAGAGCAACAAGATAACAAACCCTAAAATGGAAGTGTTTTTTCCCCCAAACAGCTTTATTGAGGTATAACTCACATATGTTACCTGAATTTTAATTTAATTTTCTCTCTTATTTGCAGGGAATCTGAAACATGTGATCTAGCTAACAAGAAGAGATCAGGTTTCTAAAGTTGAGAAACAGTGCCTGTAATGAAGACAACATGCTTACTTGAGCGGTTTGCAGAATTTGTAACTGCAAGGGAAGTTTGGAAGAAATTACTTCCTGAAGATTTCCAAGGGACACCAAGTGGCAGCTGATTTCCTTGGATGAGGCAAATAGGCATCTAAGATGTCTCAACTTGGCATAGGAGGAGAGAGATTTCCAACATTTAAAGTGTTTATTTAAACACACAAACACAAATGCAATTTTTAATCTTTGAAAGTTATTTTTAAGTCAGTTAAGAAGGGGTATTTTTATTTTAAGGCAGATCAGAAGCTGAAGGAGAACATGGAACTTTGGTTTCCAGTTGAGTAAGGAGAACAGTTGTCATAGCTGAAAGGCAGTGTTTGGGCCTCAGAACCATCTAGGTAGATCCCTGGGAGAGGGAGGTTGGTCAGCAAACTGGGAGGTGAGGCATTGTTAAGGGTTATCATATCTATTTTGTTTTTAATAAAATATTTCAAAACTTACCTCTTTGTCTCATTGTTCTCATTTTAAACCACAGCTAAAAACACACACAGTTTTGAACTTTTCCTCTTGCTTCCACACATTGCTCTGCCTAACCTGGGTGACAAACCTGAGTGCTGGGTCTCACCAAGGAACCAGTGTGTATCCAGCCCAAGTGCTGGGGACAGAGTGACAAATTTTATCTAGCCTTTCAGTGGTGGAGGAAATTACATGGGAATACATGTTACACAACTATGAAGCGGATTTGCTGGTGCCCTGGGAAAGAGCTGTCCCAACCCAGGGAGAAGTTTAGAGATAGGAAGGGCAGGTGGCATGTCAGATCTAAGAGGAGTATTTTGATAGATAGAGAGGATACTCCCCATCAAATGTAGACGATCGGTACACATGATGATAATGGGATGCAATTGTGATATAGTAAAAACTAGTTGTTATTGATCCCATGTGTGTCAGAGTACAACTGTGTTCCACAGTTTTCAACAGCTGATTTTTGGTAAGTAGAACACCAGTATTTCTTCCTACATGCCTCTGGTTTGACTTGAACTTTCAACCAGTTGGTTATGAGCTTAGTGCTTTAACCATTTGCACATAGTGGAGGTGGCAAGATGGGAAAATGGGAGATGGGGGAGTAAGGGATAATAAGAGAGATGAAGATGAGAAAGGGACAACCAAAAGTCATAATTTTGTAATTCAGTTCATGAAATGCTCATAAAGTCCCTTTGACGCATCCTAAATGAGAGAAAAGGACACAGCCCTGTCCTTGTCATCTAGGAACTCATAGACAAGGGAAAGGAGGAGGAACCCAGAGCTGTGGGGGCACTGAGAAGGAGCACTGAACCCCACTGGGGCAGACATCCTGGAGCATTTCAAAAGATTTTAATTGAGCTTTGTAGGATGTACTTCTGAGGTGAAAAAGACTTGATCATGTCCCAGGATGGAAATGGCCAAGCTTTCATTCAATAGTATCAGGGTACATGGTCAGCTAGGAATACCAGTTCACTTCAAATGTGCACTATTCTAATTTACACTCTGGGCTTTATTTTTACCAAAAAGAAGGGGGATAAAATTAAAAATAAATCAAAAAAAGAAGGGGGAGGGGCTGAATTAATCAGTTCAGGATTGGGGGCCAGAGAAACTGCCAAACAGGAGCTTTTTGAATCCCCATCATGCAAGAAACCATTTGTCAAGGTTTTGGGACTCAAGACTAGGTTTAGCCCCATTTAGTGGTCCCTAACCCAATGCTGTTTAGGAGACCTATTCCCAAAGTAGTCACCCAAACTCCTGTGAAAACTTCAAGCTAGAGGGACCTGATGTTGGTAAGTGCCGTCAAGTCAGTTCCGACCCATAACGACCCTGTATAAGGTTTCTGAGGAGCAACTGGTGAGCTTGAACCACCGACATTGCAGTTCAAACAGCTTTGCAGTCTGGCACATTAACCCACTCCTGATAAAGAGTGGTAACTACCCTATAGGGACACAAACTGAATGCTCCAAAATGGCTCCATTAATGTCAACTCAAACCATATCTCCTCTATCTCTTCCCCCTACTCCCACTGTCTAGGGAAGGATCAGACAGCCCCCTATTCTAGCTATACATACTGAAACTCCTTATTCTCATGCTTTAGTTATGCTAATGCGAGAAAAAGCCAACAGCCCCCTCCTCCTGCTATACATACCCAAACTCTTTGTTCTTTACAAAGGGAAAGGAAGCCCTGCACCTTGTGATTTTCCTACCTTTTCCTTGTTACACATACCACCCTTAACTAACTGTCCTGATGTATGAGAAGCTTGTATACCCCATGATATAAAAAAGATCTTGGCCCACGTACCTTATGCGAAAAAACTTCACTGTCCAGCCGGCTACCACTCAGACAGCTGTCCATGTCCCATGTCAATAAGTTGCCTATCAGCAAACCATCTCTTGTTTTCTCTTCTGTAATAAACTAATGTCTGTCAGATTGGGTCCTGGTCATTTTTTTAGTCTCATAGCACCTACATACACTTCCTTTATGGCAACCACTGTAGAATTCACATGTCTTAAACAGTGAACAAGGGATGATGGCTTCATGTCTCCATTGCAATAATAGTATATGTTGAGGATCAAGTGGCTTTTAAGCAGCATGGTGGGTGTGGAAAATGTTTGCAGTCTAGATCATTCTGCTGTGTTTATGGGTTGGTGAGTCTAATGACATCATCACACTGGGGTGAGGGATGCTTTCTAGTTCCACCATTGTCCAAGTGGAATGCCATTTCTTCTGATGTGAAAGTGTTCAAATAGACATCATGGAGTCCATTTTTCCTTTGACTAGCATTCGATCCACTACTTATATGTGTGGGAGAGTCTGGGATACTCGAACACACACTTATACTAGCCATTGCACCACTAAGACTTTTTATGCAGATAAAAATTTGTATGTTGCTGGAGAACAAACAAGATGGTGGATCGGGTGGAAGTGCCGTAAGGAGCTCCATCAGTAACAACACAAAATATAGGACCAAGCAGACTGAGGGGATGGCCCCAGAATTCTGAACCACATATAAAGGAATATTTAGAAGGTTGGAAGGCTTACAGCTAGGGGAATTTGTAGCAGAAGCAAGAAATTCATTGCTTTCTAACTCAAGATGCTCAGCTGCTCTAAGAGCCACCATCTTGGGTGAGACCAAGCTGGGGAAGGATCAGAGCCTGTCAGATGCCTGACAGAACCACGGAGATAAAGGTATGGACATTCTTTTCTTTTGGTATCTGATCATTGGACCCTTGCTGTCTGTGCACCTCCATTCTGGTGACTATAGGGGTGCCTGAGCTAGTGAACAACCCAGCCCCACCCTCGGAGGGTTCTACTACACATGCGCACAGATCTCCTCTAAATTTAAAGAGACAGTTTCCACTTAAAACCAAACGGCCACAGCCAGCCCTGAACTATTTATAACTAGAAAAAAGGCCTGAACTGGGATTGTGTAGCAGGACAGGCAGACAAAAAAGGAAATAGGCCGAAAATTAAATTCTAAGTTATGTCAAAACAACCAACAGTGGCATCTTGAAATTTCTCAAGACGAAGAGTGAAAAGGGAAGCGTATTTCCTGATCAAATCTATCTGGAGGCAATCAGAAAGCATAAAAAAATACCAAAATACACACCGGTCTAAGTGTTAAGGCCAAGAGAACTCCTGAATATGACCAAAAAACAGAAGAAGATGACCATATCTGCACATGTCCAGAAATGAGATAAAGTGACTGAGGCAAATGAGCTGGAAGTAGACCTACACTCCATACTGGAAGATGTGCAGGTTTTGTAAATGCCTGAGAAGGAATTCAGAAAAATGATTATAAAATGTATCAAAACTACACAATGGAGTTGAGAAAAATAAGGAAGAAGTCAGGAAAGTGCTACAGGAACAATCAAATATGATAGATACAGCATTGGAAACAATTCAAAACCTA